GAGAAGGGGCCGTGAATCGCTCCACCTGTGCCCTCCTCCAGCTCTGCACCTGGCATATCTCGGTGCCTGCCGGACACGGCATAGAGCTACAGTTCCACAACTTCAGCCTGGAGGCCCAGGATGAGTGCAAGTTTGACTACGTGGAGGTGTATGAGATCAGCAGCTCAGGGGCCTTCAGCCTCCTGGGCAGGTAGGGGAGCCGGGGAAGAGCCACGGATAACTCCATCCTTACTGTCTGCCACCCCCGGCTCCCTCCACATCGGCCCAGCACATTCCCCAGCTGCATTTCCTTCGGCTACTCCAGGCCCCAGGTCTCTTCACCATCACCCTAAAAACAGCTCTCACCTCAAAACCTTCACCCCACACCCTCTCTGTTCCCAAATCTCCCTGCCCCACTTCCTCCCCACCAGAAGGGGTCATTTCCACCTCCCCTACAAACCCTCGTTGATTTTTCTTTTTCTTCTTTTTTTGAGGCAGGGTCTTACTCTATCGCCCAGGCGGGAGTGCAGTATCGCCACCATGGCTCACTGCAGCCTCGGCTCCCAGGTTCAAGTGCGCCTTCCACCTCAGCCTCCTAAGTAGCTGGGACCACAGGCACATGCCACCATGCTCAGATAATTTATTTTTTTAATTTTTTTGTAAAGACAGGGTCTCACTATATCACCCAGGCTGGTTTCGAACTCCTGAGCTCAAGTGATCCTCCCACCTTGGCCTCCCAAAATGCTGGGATTACAGGCTTGAGCCACAATGCCAGGCCCCTTCATTGATTTTTTCCCCCATCTCGAAGTGGCTCAAGTTCAAGCAGTTTGTTTCATGCTTTGCCTGCTCAATATGTGTGTCTTCCTCACCAGACCCTAACCCGGTGTCTCTCGTCACCTTTGGCACTGTCCAGGGCTCCCAGTTCAGAGCCAGACCTGTGGGAGGCTGCAATGCCCCCTCAGTCAGCCAGGGCTGGTGCCCAGAACTGCTATCTGCTTTGGGCAGGTTCTGTGGAGCAGAGCCACCCTCCCTCCTCGTGTCTTCGCACCATGAGCTGGCTGTGCTCTTTAGGACAGATCATGGCATCAGCAGTGGAGGCTTCTCAGCCACCTACCTGGCCTTCAATACCACGGAGAGTAGGTGCCCCTGGACAAGTGGGTGTGGGCAGTAGAGGCACCGGCAGGGGGACAGAGAAGGGCTCTGGACCCTGGTCAAGACACTCTGTGGGCACTTGGGTGTAGGTGTGCCCCCGGGCACTGCCATGCTCCTTGTGCCTGCAGACCGCTGTGGACCCAGTGAGCTCTCCTGCCAGGCTGGAGGGTGTAAGGGTGTGCGGTGGATGTGTGACATGTGGAGAGACTGCGCCGATGGCAGCAATGACAACTGCAGCAGCCCTTTGTTCCCACCCCCAGGTGAGAAACCTACCTCTGGGGACCCTGAGCAGGGCCTGCAGGGGCGAGCAGGCTGGGTGCCCACCTCACAGAACCCTGCTTCGTACTGTGTGGCGTCCCATCCCATCCTCCCTGAGGGGGTAGGGCCAGCTGACTCTGGGGCCACTTCTCAGAGTCCTGGAAGCCACTGGTGGCTGGTGGTGGCAACGTCCCTGAGTGTCATCCCAAGGGAAATGGGAATCTGGGAATCAGTGGTTGGGGCTTCAAGAACCAGTCCCTTCTGTCACCCAGAGCCCCTTTCCACAGCCCACCCCAAAGATGAAGGCATGCTCTTACACAGAGCAGGGGACTTTCTTCCCAATGCCCAAGTGGTCCCTGTAAATGTGGGTGCCCCATGTTCCCTGACATCAAAGAGGTCCCTGTGTGATGACCCGGGTAGGAGAGTGATGCTGGAGCAGGATCTCAGGGATGGCAGGGATCCTCAGTGTGTACACCCTCTCTCCTCATTATCCTCCATCGGAGCCACATACACACAGGACCAAGTGATTCGGTGACTTGCCACAGGCCACACAGCCAGTGAGCAGTTCCCACAGTGGCCCTCCTCCACCCCTACAGAGCTGGCCTGTGAGCCTGTCCAGGTGGAGATGTGCCTCGGTCTGAGCTACAACACCACGGCCTTCCCTAACATCTGGGTGGGCATGGCCACCCAGAAGGAGGTGATGGAGGTCCTCAGCGGTTACAAGGTCTATGGGCAGAGAGAAAGAGGGCGGGCCGGGAGGGGACGGAACCTGGGAGCAGGTGCCTGAAGGTCACTCTCCCTCCACAGAGCCTGACAAGCCTGCCCTGCTACCAGAATTTCCGGAGGCTCCTGTGTGGGCTGCTTGTGCCCCGCTGCACCCCACTAGGCAGTGTTCTGCCCCCTTGCCGCTCTGTCTGCCAGGAAGCAGAGCACCAGTGCCAGTCTGGCCTAGCACTACTGGGCACCCCCTGGCCCTTCAACTGCAACAGGCTGCCAGAGGCAGCTGGCCTGGAAGCTTGTGCCCAGCCGTGACCCTGAAGCTGGCCCCTGCCCTCTTCCTGCCCATCCTCCTTTGCCAGTCAGGGTTGGCAGGCAGGGGAACAAAGGAAGGGGCACCAGCAGGGTCTCTACCCATCTTCTCTGGGGCTCCCAGAGAGGGGGCAGAGGAGTCCTCGGCTGGGGGTCATGGGACCCTCCCACCCTCCCTGCTCCTTCCTGTCCCCTTCCTGTCCCCAGGCTGCTGACTGGCCCCACACTGGGCCACTGGACAATCGAGACTGCTTCCTATCCAGGCCTCTGACCCTGACTTCCCATCTCTGCCTCTCCCCCTTTCCGTCTGCTTTTTCAGCGTCTCTATTGCGGGCCTTCTGACCAATAAAATGTACCAAGCATCTACTCATGTGGCAGGCCCTGTCCTAGGCCCTGGGAATCCAACTGGCCGTCTGCCTCCAGAACTCTCCACCCTCATCTCTCTGCTTATTTCTCTCTGGAAGGTGGTCTGATCTTTGGTCTCTGCCACTGTCCAGCCTCTCCTCTGGCCCCTGGGAACCAGAGATGCCCTATGTGTCTGTCTCTCGAGGTTCTGCCTCTCTGTGCCCGGCTCAAGTCTCTCTCCCCCTCCTTTCTCCCCCCGAACTTTGGCCGGCCGCCGGGCGACACCACGAGTTATTTCCCAGCTATTTCCCGGTCCGGGAGCTCCTGGCCCCTGAACAACTGGTTTCCTCTTGGAGTCTGGGAGGAGGAGAGCGGAGCCGGCAGGGAGCGAACCAGGACCGGGGTGACCTCGGGGATGGGGGCGCCTGGCGGGGAAGAAGCGCGGGGGCGGGGGCACCGCCAACTGGAGGGTCCGGAGTAGGTAGCGCCCCCGAAGGAGGCCTTTGGGGAGCCGGGAGGGGAGTGAGTCTGGCGGAGGAGAGGAAAGGGGCTGGGGAGGAGACAGTGGGAAAAGCTGGAGCAGGCCAGCGGTGGGAGGGAAAGCTGGCCGCTCCTACCCGCTCTCGCCCGCCTGGCTCACCCGGTGCTCGGGCCCGCGGGCACTCAGCCTCAGGGGCACGGCAGTGGGGTGGGGACCAACTGGGCCTCGCCGGGTGGGGAGCCAGGCAGGTCCCAGGATTCTGGGTCTCGACTCCAGTTCTGCCTGACCCACAGACTGCCAGAGGACCCCGGCGCCCGGGCTCCCGGTACCAGCGCCATGAGGCCGCTCCTCGTCCTGCTGCTCCTGGGCCTGGCGGCCGGCTCGCCCCCGCTGGACGACAACAAGATCCCCAGCCTGTGCCCGGGGCACCCCGGCCTTCCAGGCACGCCGGGCCACCATGGCAGCCAGGGCTTGCCCGGCCGCGATGGCCGCGACGGCCGAGACGGCGCACCCGGGGCCCCGGGCGAGAAAGGCGAGGGCGGGAGGCCGGGTAAGAAGGCACCGCCGCGACTCTCGGTGGCGACGTCCGAGCAGGCGAGGCTGCGACTCCCACTCCCGGTGTCCGGGGCTCCCGCCAGGGGGCGCCACTCCCTGCGCTTTGCAGCCCTGCGCGGGGGAGGGGAGGCCCGGGCGGCAGGGGCCCTCTTGGCCAGCCCCCCAGTTCTGCCCTCCACCTGCAGGAAGGGGTGGGGGAGAAACCCGTGCGGGAGGAGGCGCTGGGTGAAGGTCAGGTCGGGACGGGGAGGGGGACGGTGACCTTAGAGTCGGCACCCCACTGCGGGCTGACCCGGCCACTGCGCTCACCCTGCCGCCCCCTTACACCGTAGGACTGCCGGGGCCGCGAGGGGAGCCCGGGCCGCGAGGAGAGGCGGGACCCGCGGGGCCCACCGGGCCTGCCGGGGAGTGCTCGGTGCCTCCGCGCTCCGCCTTCAGCGCCAAGCGCTCGGAGAGCCGGGTGCCTCCGCCGTCTGACGCGCCCCTGCCCTTCGACCGCGTGCTGGTGAACGAGCAGGGACATTACGACGCCGTCACCGGCAAGTTCACCTGCCAGGTGCCTGGGGTCTACTACTTCGCCGTCCATGCCACCGTCTACCGGGCCAGCCTGCAGTTTGACCTGATGAAGAATGGCCAATCTATCGCCTCTTTCTTCCAGTTTTTCGGGGGGTGGCCCAAGCCAGCCTCGCTCTCAGGGGGCGCCATGGTGAGGCTGGAGCCCGAGGACCAAGTGTGGGTGCAGGTGGGCGTGGGTGACTACATTGGCATCTATGCCAGCATCAAGACAGACAGCACCTTCTCCGGATTTCTGGTGTACTCTGACTGGCACAGCTCCCCGGTCTTCGCTTAGTGCCCACTGCAAAGTAAGCTGACTCACTCTTAGGAGGAGGGCATGACGCTGACAACCAGGTCATCCAGGAGGGCTGGCCCCCCTGGAATATTGTGAATGACTAGGAAGGTGGGGTAGGGGCCTCTCCGTCCTGCTGCTGGCAAGGAACAGGGACAGTGGCTGGGATGAGGTCTGGCAGCATGGGGCAGTGGCTGGATTTCTGTCCAAGACCAGAGGAGTGTGCTGTGCTGGCAAGTGTAGGTCCCCCAGTTGCTCTGGCCCAGGAACCCACGCTGGGGTGCTTTCTTCCTGGTCCTCTGCTTCTCTGGATCCTCCCACTCCCTCCTGCTCCTGGGGCCGGCCCTTTTCTCGGAGATCACTCAATAAATCTAAGAACCTCCTACCAGCTCCAGTCTTTCTTCTTTAGTGGTGGGGGTTCCCTGTTTCTGGGATCATGGGTGGGGGGGTGCTCAGGCAGAAGGGAGGATTCTTGGATGAAATAGAGATATGGGGCAGATATACAGGAAGCCGGCCCAGGGGAATGAGAGGCTGCTCCTCAGAACCACCACCTAGGTTGTGAACAGGAGTGTCTGACAGCGAGATGCCTTCTTGGGGGTGGGGCTCCAGCCACCCTGAAAAAGGGGCACCTTTTTCTAATTCAAAGATGCCAAGCGAACCACATAAGGGCTGCCTGCACCACACATACCCCTGCCCTGATCCAACAAAAAAGAGCCGAGGACCTTTCACCCATGGCTGCTCTGGCTGCTTGCCTGGTCCCCAGATGACCGGGAAAGCTATTGCTCTGTAAACGGAGTGAGTGGCGCCCCTGGCATCTAGAGATAAGTAGTTTCTGAGATGACCACAAGGGGGTGCCCAGACCCCAGAATGTCACAGGGATCCTGGGTACCTTGGGCTCCTGACTATGGGTGGTGAGGGGGAGGAGGGGTATTGTCAGCCAAAGGAATTCCAGATGCGGGTGGAGGAAAAGGGGGGTCCTTTACTCCCAACTCAGGAAGTTTATCTTCTATCATAAAATGTTTATCCCCACATTAAACAGAGACTGGAAGGAGCCAGGCCTCCCCTTGCTCAGCTCCCTGTCCCAGATTGAGGGAAGGAAAGAGCATGTGCCAAGCCCTCCCCAGGCCTCCCAGTTCCGAGGGGGAGATGAGGAGTCCTCCCCGACAGCACTGGGAATAGCCTGGGTGGGCCGAGCCACTGTGTCTGAGGCTAACCACAAAGCCCCTCAAGGCTCCCTGCCCAGGGCCCACCCCCAACCCAGTGACTAACAAACCAGGACTGGCCAGCCCCATCTGCACAGACTGAAACCAAGGAGGGGGGGGCCTTGCCTCAGAGTTTGTTTCTTTCTTTCTTTCTTTCTTTTTTTTTTTTTTTTTTTTTTTTTTTTTTTTTTTTTTTTTTTTTTTTTTTTTTTTTTTTTTTTGCTTCTTTTGGCTATAAGCAATCCTCAGAGTTTCTTCATGAGCTACCGGCATCCCCTTCCTGAAGGCAGTCCCAGACACTGTGCTCCCAGACAGAACAAACAATTATGGGGGAGTGCCCCTGCTCTTCCCCTGATCATGTGAGGGCAGACAAGGCCAATGGGGGCTGAGCCCCAACTGTGAGCTAGAGACAGGCCTCAGGCAGCCTCCACCAGGAGGTACCGCAACCACACTCCAGCCCAGCCCTGCACCAGACCCCATGCCAAGACACACAGAGACAAGCACCAGCTCCTCGAGATCCGAGGGTAGCCTGGACTCCAGGCAGCAAGAACCCCATGCTCCCTCCCAGGAAGACTGGCCCAGAGGAAAAGCTGGGAAGGTTGACTCAAGGGTTGAGATAGTTCACATTCTTCTCTACACGGGCTTAATTTGGCAAAAATGGAAAAAACACAGAAGGCTTTTCGAAAGCCACGTGTGCAAGGGACAAATCAGAAGGGATGAGAGCTCATAGAGCCAAGCCTGGCATACACTCTCCCCATGACACTGTCTTCCCAGCCTATCTTAGCTCCTCCCTGGCACTGCCCCAACCCCCCGCACTAAAGCCCAGGTACCTCCACAGACCACACTTCTGACTCTGGCAGGCCTGAAGGACCCTGATGGAAATGTCTACATATTTAATAAGGTTATCAAAATACAGTACATACAGTACATAAATGGGGGAATGGAGTGTAATAAAGGAAATGTGTCTACATAGAATAAAATACATAAAGAACAAGAAAGCAAATATGGCATTGTTTATCCAAATGGTCACAAGATGATAACTGGTATTCAGAGCATCCTTCTTCTACTCTGAATTTCATGCTTCTGTTATCCATAGCTATATGGCATTAGATGGTGGATGGGTTAAAGCCAGTCTTCATTCTTGATGGATCTGAGCCACTGGTGACTTTGGCTGTCTTGAACTGCTGAAATTGTACATGAACTTTTACCTCTAGACTTGGGAATTTGATTATATATCCTAAAACATACTGTAAAACCCAGATTATCACATACTGCCTGACACACACTTTAGTACCAACCCTGCATCCCCTTAAAACCAAGATCAATCTTCCTATCCAACAGAGTAACCTCTTTTTATCTCCTCCACCTTTTTTTTTAACTTTAAAGTCATAAGATCACCCAAATAGCCTATTGGTAGCTTTAACTTCCAGTTGTAGGAACCCGTGTGTTGTCTTGTGGAAATATTACTTTCTTGGAGATTATAGACTCTAAATCAAAAGAGGTCAGTGTTGTGGGAAGAAGGAAATTTTTGCTAAAGAACACAACCTCAATTTCCAGATCATATATTCTCATTACAGGAGAAAATATACTAAAATGAATGCCTTCCATTTTGGCTTTCAACACCTATTAAGTTTGTGACTCATCACTGGGCCTCTGTTGATGCTGCCACAGCAGAGTCCAATCATGAACATGCCAATCAGCAGAAACAGCAGAAGCAGGGGAGCACAGACCTACCATGCTCCTGCTTCCAAATCTTATGTTAGTTTCTTCGATTGCTTGAGCATGGATAACATATAGACCCCATCTGAAAAGGGATCTGGGAAACATTGAAAGGAAGATAGAATAGATATTGTGTGCCAC